GGCGTCTCCGGGGGCTGCTGGTCGTTGTTGACGATGATCTGGGCGGTCTTGGGCAGGCAGAGGTAGCCCCCGTAGTGGTTCACGCATTTCATGCCGCCTTTGCACGCGTCCGGGACGATGTCACACTCGTCGATATCTGGGGCGGGGGGTGGTGGGGGAAGTCAGGCCAGGCCTTAGAAGGGACCCTGAGCGCAGCACGCCCACGGAGGCCCAGGAGGACGGGGAGAGGGGCGCAGGGGCCCAGATGGAGAGCCCTGCTCAAAGGGGCGGCTCACCTCTGCACTGCTGTCGCACAGGGTCCCACTCGTACCCGTCCGTGCATTGCTGTGAGGGAAGGAAGCAGAGATGGGCCAGGTCGGTTAGCCGGGCAGGTTCTCTCCCCGCCAAACCCCGGCTCCCAAACCTCACTGCCTCCCCTTCCATCCTGACGCCTAGCAACCGGAAAATTGGACCTGGTAGCGGCCCTGCAGGTGTGCGGGACTGTGACTCTTTACAGGAGATGATCCTTTCTCGGGTTAGCTGCTGGTGCTCACGTGTAACCTGTGACACGTGTAACCTCTAAACAGGTCCTAGAAAACGCTGCACTCTTAGGCTGCAGGCCCTTGAGTGTCCCCCCTCGATGTATGATGTGATGGCTATATATGTAATTTTTTTCCTGCCATGTCTGTGCAGGGGGCAGTTTCTCCTTTAAATCACTTTATTGGGGGCTCCTACAGCTTTGATCACAATCCAACCATCCATCCAGTGTGTCAAGCACATTTGCACTTTTGGTGCCCTCATCATTTGGAAAGCATTTTCTTTCTACTTGAGCCCTGGGTATCAACTCATTTTCCCTCCTCACCTATCCTCCCTCCCTCCCTCCCTCCCTCATGGACCCTTGATCATTTATAAATTATCATTATTTTTTCATGTCTTACACCGACCGATGTCTCCCTTCACCCACTGTTCTGTTGTCTGTCCCCCTGGACAGACATTGTGATCATTGTGATCAGTTCCCCCTTTCTCCTCCCACCTTCCCCTTACACTCCTGGTATCGCCACTCTCGTTATTGATCCTGAGGGGTTTATCTGTCCTGGATTCCCTGTGTTTCCAACTCTTATCTGTATCAGTATACATGCTCTAGTCTAGCCGGATTTGTAAGATAGAATTGGGGTCATGCTAGTGGGGGGTTGGACACATTATAGAATGAGAGAAAGTTGTATGTTTCAATGGTGCTATACTGCACCCTGACTGGCTCGTCTCTTCCTTGTGACCCTTCTGTAAGAGGGACCTTTTCTTTCTCAATCAGAGATGTCCGTCATCCCTTTCTTGACTTGAGAATAATATTTTTCTGACTTCTGATGGCTCTTTTTGTCCTACTTAGCATTTCTTCTACATGGTAAATTTTACCCCCAAATCTGAGTCATGTTGTTGTTTTCAGCCCCTCTCTCTGAATCTTTTCCTCCCTGTTCCCATTCAGCGCATCCACCATTTTCTTCACATGTTGCCCTGCCTCCTGGCTTCAGTTCCTACAGTTCTCCCCCACTGCTTCCCTCACAGAATGAGCCATGGGACGGAGCAATTTCTCGAGCCGGACAGTGCCCTAGGTTCTGGGATACACCGAAGACAAGGATCTGGGTCCTGTCTTCAAGTCCAGGTCAGGAGATGATACAGGCTAGTTGGAGCAAGATACCATGTATCACAACACAGTAGGTGTATGGGCCAATGGGTGGACTCTGGAACTAGGATGGGCCTTTCGAGGTCAAGGAGAAGGAGATGTCAAGTGAACTGGGCCTTCTAGGATGATTCGAGTTTCTCCAGGTAGACGTGGGAGTTCCAGGAAGAGGCCCACCCCAGTAAGTGAAGGCAGACCATTCTGGAAGAGTGTGGCTGGGTTGGGGTTGAGGTTTGAGAAGTAGGCAGGGTCAAACCCAGGAAGTCTTTTTGGGGGGCACTAGGAAGAACTGGGCTCTACCCTAAAGCACAGTGATGGCCAAGCTTCACCATGCCTCAGTACCCCCTGGGTGCTTGCTGAGATGCAGATTCCTGCTGAAATGTTGGTTCTATCTATAGGTGGGTGGGGAGCCTGGTGATCTGAAGTCCTGAAAAACAACCCCAGAAGATTCCAATACAGATGGTCTTTGGGCAACCTTTTGAAAAACACTGTTGGTTGATAAGAGGCCACTAAAGGATTTTATCCTCAGGGGGGAGAAAAAAGCAAAACAAACTGGTAAGATGTGTATCTAAGGAAGTTAAATTCATCAGAAAGATGCCTTGGAAGGACTCAACAAAAGTGAGATAAATAAGTAAACAAATCATTCAACAAATAGGTTTAAATTCTATTCATAGAGGCAGGTCGATGCATCCCGCAGATGCCTGCTCCCTAAACAGCTACACGGAAGCAGTGAGATCAGTGGCTATGCTTTAACGATACCTGACACTTTGGGCAACAACTCAAAGCATTTTATATTCCAAATGGGTTTTTGTTTCCCCAACACTATCCAAGCCATGACCATCTTTCTCAGGACCTGTTATTACAATGTGAACTTCGGCATTGTTGTACATGTGTGTGACGGTGTTCTTTCAGGCAGTGCTGGTTCTCATCTACATCAACCACCTTGGTATAAGCCCACCTGGCCTCATGAGTCTAAAAGAGCTCTTTGCTGAACTCCTTATCTCTGCATTCCACAATGACAACACTTCTTCTTCTACTTCATGCCACCTGTCCAGTTCAGACTCCCAGTGGCCTGTAGCCCTCTCTTGTCCGATTAGCACCATCTCTAGGTTCTCTGCAAGATTCAGCTCCAGCCAGTCCTGACTTACCACAGCCTAGACTTTGTCATGGGTTCTTCCGCTTGCATCTTTTGATCATGCTGCTTCTGAATCGGGTGCTTCCTCAGCCTCTGTAGGTCACTGCAAGGCCATCCCTGCCTTGCAGCTCCAGCACAGAGTCCCATCTCCCCAATATGCAAGCATCGGCATTGATCACCACCTTGCTTTTCTGTCTCTTGAACAATGATATAATCTGGATAATAATATTATTTGTACTCGCCTAGAAACTTTGTAGTGTTCAGCAATGTGTTTCCAGGGTAAATTCTCTGAGGTTAAGAGTCAAATTTTCTCCATAAACAAATAAGCTTGAATTCTTATTGACAGAGCTGAGAGTTCTTAGGCACGCCACATATACTTGTCAAGTGAACAGCCAAATGGAGCTGATCTTTAATGTGGAAGGGGAAGACGAGGCTGGCTATCTTGTGGAAATAAGCCATCCTTTTGAGAAGTATCTTTCCAAAGAGGAAAATATTGCAGTTTGCCTGCCTAATTTGTATGGCAAATGGAGAAGCCCTGAAGTTGGTTTTTGGTATTTAGTCCAAATACATTCAATGTGGACCCCCTAGTAAACAAGCCTGCATTTGAAAGGTGCTCTGGTGGTATGGTGCATCACTCCTTGGGCTGCTAACCACTAGGTCAGCAGTTGGAAGCCACCAGTCACTCCGAGGAAGAAAGACGAGGCTGTCTATTTCTGTAAAGAGTTATCATCTCAGAAACTTACAAGGGCAATTCTACCCTGACCCGTAGGGTTACTCTGAGTAGGGGAGCAACTCTATGGGAATGAATTTGAGTGAAGTTTGAGACTCAATTGAACCACATGGCTACACTGCTTACTCCCTGATCTTCCTCCTGAGTTCTAGCCACAGCAGAAAATGGTGGCACTTACCTCATAGGTTGCTTGACATCTCTCTCCACAGGGGGCTACTCAACAAATAGTTACCGCGCATCCTTGGCCCTGAGTTACCAGGCACAAGCGGTTCAAAAAAGGACACACCCAATCTTAACACAAAAAGGGGCAGTGTGTCTGTAAAATCTTACAATCACCGTGAACACAATTGTGGCCTCAAAATGACAGCGTGTAAATGACAGCGTGTAAGCGGCGATGAGAAAGACTTGGGTTAAGACTAGCAGAGGGAAGCCAGCAAGGATGAGGATGTAAAAGGAAGCTGAGCACCAGGTGATGATACAAGTGGTGGCCCCTTCTCTCTTGAGCTTTCTGCAGAAGACAGTGAAGTCTAGCCCAGTTAGAAAGACATGTCTTGGAAAATGAACAGCACAAGCATTTGTTGCTCTTGCTTTGTGCACCTTCAGCAGAGAGAGCAAGAGTAAAGGAACAAAATATGTGTATTTGACTCTAAGGCAGTGGTTCTCAACTTTCCTAATGCCGGGACCCTTTTATAGAGTTCCTCAGGTTGTGGTGACCCCCAACCATAAAATCATTTTCATTGCTACTCCATAAATGTAATTTTGCTACTGTTATGAATTGGGCAACCCCTGTAAAAGGGTCATTCGACCCTCAAAGGGGTCACGACCCACAGGTTGAGAACTGCTGCTCTAAGGTATAGCTCCCCTGAGCAGCATAGTGGGACATTTACCAGATGGAGACTAACATCCTACAGATGATGGATGATGGGATGTCCAAATGTGAGAGGATGTGTATTATCAATAATTGACATTAGCTCACTTTTATTCTCTTTCGAAAATAAAAATAATTTTTAAAAATTACATTTTCTCCAGTAGGATTACTTGATTTTAAGTGGGGAGCAAGTGGAAAATGTGTTTTTCATCTTCTGATGTAGGAGAAATGTCATTCGCCTCACCACGCTGATTAGAAACTGGAAAACACAAACCAAGCTGCAAACAGACCCAGACCCAGCAGCTTCGAGGGAACTTCCGCCCTCAGGGGCGCTCCCCCAGCCATTCCTCCCCAGAGGAGGGGTCAGGTGACATTGCCAAAGACTTTATTCAACATTGGCTTTGCCAGTGCCATGAATGAGTTGATCACATTTTCCTTGGAAATGCCACATGGGCTACTTAGAAAATGCAGGAGTAAAATACACACTCGGCATTTTAAAACCACGTGCCCAGGAGCTGCTACGCTGGTCACACAGTCGATTCGAGGGACATTTGCAGAGTTCACCAGCCACACTATCGTGGAACGTGCAGCCTGCATATATATGTTGAAGAAAGCCACGTGGGGCAAAGATACTCTCGTGCACAAATGAGACAGTGGGTAGCCTGCTTGGTTTACTGGATGGAGGTCTGACTTCATCTGCAGGCACCCGGGGATTTCTCGGATCCGTGGTGGGTTTGCGGCGAGGATTGGGAACATGCAGCTTAGTTTGTTTTTAGTTTGTGAAGGGCTTCCTTTCTCACACCAAGCATTCCGTTCTGGTCCTTATCTCAACTGGGGACCTAGATGAACGTCTGCAAGTACGCTGGCGATTGACAACTCATTCTAAACAGGTCCTTGCTCCAGCATGGTTTAATCAGAGCCCAGCCCACCGAGGCTGGCAGGGGTGGGGCGGGGGTGGGGTGGGGGCAGTGTCACAAAATCCCTCTCCCTCACGCCCCCCCCCTCATCTCAGATTCCATCACCCCTTACCGTGTACGTGATGGTTTCTTCGGTGTCCTGTGAATTGGCCCACGCCAGGGTCAGCAGGATCAGGAAAGGGGTCCTCAACATTGTGAATCTCAAAGAAACCACAGGGCAAACCAAGGCTTAGTCTCCGAAGGGGGTGTACGTGCGCTGGGGCATGGGGGCGGGATGACAAAGCTTTAGTTGGAAGGAAGCCGTGCCCTCCCCTCCACAACCTTCCCGGTCACACGCTGCAGAATTGCATTTATGCATTTTGCTCCATCCAGCGGCGAGGAGTGTATACAAAGGGCTGCCAGGGGGCCCTTTTCTACCGCACCTTCACAGAGGGCTCTAAAGACAGGCTAAAAAGCAAAGGATTCCAAAGATGGTGCGAGTCCCCCCTCACCCCCACTCGCCCCCCAGCAGAGGACGCGGCGCAGCCGTGCACCCTCGGCCTCCGACCGGCCGCTCCCGTGGGTCCCTCCAGCAGCCGGGCCGGGCCGAGCAACTTACCTGCCCACCCACCAGCCTGCGCCACCGCGGCCGCAAACTTTTGTTCCAACACCCAAACGGATCTCTTCCCAGTTTTGGCGGAATTCCCGTCCCCTCCCGGAAGCTCACCCGCAGCCCCCAGCACAAACTCCCATAGGGACACGTCCACGCTGTCCTCCGAGCGCGGCGTCGTTTTAAACACAAAAACAAACAAAAACCCAGGTTGTTTGGGAAAGTAGCTGGCTCTAAATGGCTGATTCTTTTCAGCCCCTGTTCAGCCCGCTGACCACAGGGCTACCTCTACCCCGGGGGCTGCAGCGGCGGCGCGGCTGGCCTGCAGGGGGGCGGCTCGGCCCTCTTTCGGGACCGAGGTTCACAGGCGGCGGCCCCCCTCCCCAACCCCCCCGCGGGCGAGGTGCTCCGCGCTCCAGCTTCTACCCAGCTCCTGCGGTTTGTCAAGACCAGGTGCATCTTACATCTTGGTCCCCCGAAACTTCCTAGCCCACGCTGGTGGCCAAAGCCGGGTCAGTGGGTACCTGGCTCCCACTCACGCCCATCCCAATGGATGTCACCTGGGCGTTCTCGCTCGGTGACAGATCGCGTTCCCAGACGGCTCCCCTCTCCCACCTTCTCCGCCAGGGACCCTGTACATTCCAGGATGGGTCCCAGTTCTCGAGTACATGCGATTCTCGACTCCTCCAGGTGGAGGTTACCCCATCTTACCCGCCCACCCCCATCCCCACCGCCCCAGGGTGCAGATTCCGGGCAGCTGGGCACACAGCTTGGCGCGCCCTCTGCGCGGAGGCCTGGTACCTGGGCTGCCGGGCTGCGCTGCGGTCCGGGCAGCGAGGGGAGTGCGCTCGCACCGGAGAGCTGCCCGCGTGGGTCTGAACTGGCGAGCTCTGGCAGCGGCTGCAGCAGCGGCAGGAGGGGGAGGAGAAAGGGAGGGAAGGGGAAGGGCTGTGGGGGGCGGAGGAGGGAACAGAACGAAGCGCAATGCCTAAGCCAAGTGCAGCCAGCAGGGCAGGACAGCGAGGGCGCAGCTGGGTCTGCACCCCCTCCTTCCCGCCCGCCCTTGCTAGCCTCTCACCCCCAATTCTCCAGCGCCTGGATTCCCTCAGGGCTTAACGTTTTCGGAATCCAGGAAAGACCAGTTGAACATGGCATGTGTGGCTGTTAAGTTAAGGTCTGCAGTTCGATATCATCCTGGGCTGCTGCTGCGGAACTTCCTTTTGGCTTGCGGAGGAGAGGAGGAAGATCTATTATATATCTAACACATATATAATCTATTATCTATCTAATATATATATATATATATATATATAGATAGATAGATAGATAGATAGATATATACCTCTATATATCTATATCTATATATCTATATCTTACCTCCAGTAAGCAAATGCTGAGAGAGTGAGTCAGCGGCAGTCACAGACTCAATCTTGCTGTTCTTCCAATGCTCCTTGGTTGGGGGATGATCTCCTTTCTCAGATGGAGAACAGTGAGCATGCTTTCTTTTCATGTGTTCACTTAACATCCGTTTGTGAGTCCTCTATGCACAAGGTGTCGTGAAGGCCCAGTGGGACTCACACAAACAAAACTGTGAGGCTGGTGCTTGCTTCTAGTTTCTCAAACCTTCTTTTAAAAGGCCCCCTTTCCCATGGGCTGCCTCTCTTCACTGGTTCCCTTGCTGGGGATCATGATAAGATATTCAAAGTGGACCATTCCACCTTCACATTTCTTGCTAATGGTGGAATTCCAGGCATCTGAAGAGAGGAATAAATCCTCATCAAAAGATTACCCATAGATTGTGGCTATCTCTGACATCCCCAACTTTGGAGATAGACCCTCAGCTTACATCCACAGCAGCCTCTATAGAAGCACTTCTAAAGAAGCCAACAGCCAAAGGCGCATCCTTTCTTGAAGGAGGAAACCTGCACAATGAGCATGTGAAGGGTTCCCTCTGTCCTCCAGAGCAGACGCGGAGGGAACAAAGACAAAGGACCTGCTCTCGCCTTCCTAGATGACCTGGTCAAAACCAGAGACTGCCAATTAGAGAATGGCAGCCGTGAATATCAAAGACTGAAGAAGAATGGACACATGAATTACGGTGCTGAAAAGTACCACAGAGTGTCCACAGAACAGATTAATCTGTTCTGCAAGAAGCACACCCAGAACATTCTTCGAAGTGAGGACAGCAGGACTTCTTGCCTCATGTCCTGTGGAAAGATACGGTGAGCTGCTTCCATAAGAATGTGGAGCCAAAAAAAGAAAGAATGCCAAGCCTTGGACATGCTGTGGGGCAGTTCTACTCTGTGCTACCAAGTTACTGTGAGTCACAGTGGACACAACAGCAGTGGACTTAGTTTGGGTGCCCAAGCCTTGGAGTGCCCAGGTTTACACACGAATCGGTCTCTGTCACCTGTCCTCGGGTTCCTCCTGTGTCTCTGCTGTTTTCTATCAAACTCAGAAGTGACCAGGTTTAGGATCCACCCTACGTTGCTAATACATAGCCCTAACTGGTTTTATACCTTAACTGATTGAATGATGGAAGGAAATGAAGTTGCATTAGATTTGGTGACATCACAAATTTGGGGGTCACGATGCCATGACATACTTTGAGAGGGACGCAATTCAATTAATCTATGTGCTTTAATACTTTTCTCATTAAAAATTCCCTGAAAATCACTCAAAGCCCTAAGGACCCACCAAACACCCAAACTAAGTCCACTGCTGTTGTGTCCACTGTGACTCATAGTAACTTTGCAGCACAGAGTAGAACTGCCCCATAGTGTGTCCAAGGCTTCGCATTCTTATGGAAGCACGTCGCCGTATCTTTCTCCTTCAGATGGACTGGTGGGTTCAACCTTTCTGCCAACCTTTCCGTAAGCAGTCCTGGGTTTAACTAATCTGACACCTGAGCTCCTTCAGGGCTTGTATGGATCCTAAGTGAATTAAATTGTGGAGCTGCTAAGCCCTATAGTTAAAATTCAACTACGAATATTCATGGGTGTATAGTGGATTCGAAAATGAAAGCTGTAGAAACATGGATTTGGCATAAAGGCAGTGAAGATGGGGCAGTCGACACGGGGGATCAACAATAGGGTGACCAACTTGTCTTAGTGTACTGGGGATTTTCTCAGTTTCCACCCTGGCAGTCTGGTTTCTTTCTGCACGTTCAAAGTGATTTTACTACCATGTTTCCCTAAACAGATATCTTCTAAAAGAAGTCCTTGGTTTTCTCATAAATGTGATGGAATATGATCTGTAACAAATATATGTGAAAACTCATTCAATGCCATCAAGGGGATTCTGACTTATAGTGACTCTAATGACCGGGTAGACCTACCCTTCAAGATTTCAAATCTTGATGGCTATTGAAAGCCTTATCTTTTGACTTTAGAGAAACTGGTTGTTTTGAACTGTGGACCTTGCAGATCACAGTCCAATGTGTAACCACTATACCATTAGGGCTCCTACCAAAGCAGCTGATAGTGACCCTATTTGGGTTTCCAAGGCTATAAATCTTTATAGGCACAGATAGCCTCATCTTTCTCCCATAGAGCAGCTGATAGGTTTGAACCACTGATTTTGTGGCTAACAGTGCAAAGCATACCCAAAAACTAGGCCTCCTTGTACCAGGTATTAGAGAGGGTCAAAGTTGATAAGAGTCAGAACTCTGTTCTCCAGAGCCCACAGACAAGTCCAGAAGATAACATTTCAGGCATCGTTTTTAAGTTGCACATTTTCTCAGGTCTCTGAAAGCAGGCTACACCTTACATTGACAGTGTTGAGCTCTACTGGGCAGTGCTTTTTCTTTCTCAAGAAGCCTTGGAGAGGCATTCGGCTACCAACCACAAGATCAGTGTTTCCAAGCCATTTCAGGGAAAGGAGGAGGCTGTTTGTGCCTGAAAAGATTCATAGTCTCAGAAACCCCAGAGAATCACTATGCTCAGAATCAGCTTGATAGCAGTGGCTTTGGGGATTTTATTTTTGCTTTTCTTTCTTTTTTACAATCATTTTATTGGGGACTCGTACAGCTTTGATCACAATCCTTCCATCCATCCATTGTGTCAAGCACATTTACACATTTGTTGCCGTCATCATTTTCAAAACATTTTCTTTCTACTTGAGACCTTGGTATTTGAGAAGTCTGATTTCTTAACAAACTCCTTAGTCCTAGACAATCTGGGATACCTGGCCACCTTAAAGGTGTGTTGTAAAGAAAACGGGACATGGAGTCAGGAGTTCTTATCTGAACTTTGCCTTCTTCTAGCTTAAGGTGACCAGACATCCCGATTTTGGTGGGACAGTCCTGATTTTTAACAATTTTTCCTGTGTCCCGCGGCATTTTTGAAAAGTCCCGATTTTTGGAAAGAATGCATGACAAGCTAGGGTATATGGTTTTTGGCTGCCGTGTGGCTATTTCGCCAGGATATGAGTTTTACCAATGGTGTCCTGCTTTACCAATGCTAAAATCTGGTCACCTGATTATGGCTGGGTAGCTGTAGCAGCCCTCCGTTTCTTTGAATCGTGTTTGTACATTTGTTGCTGGTATAGCAGCACTCACCTGTAGTGATGGTATTGTAAGCCTCAAGCCGACATCGACTGCTATCACATTGACTCTGACTCATGTGAACCTTTGCAGGGTTTTAGAGACTGTAATTCTTTAAGGGAGCAGACAGACTCATCTTTCTTCCAGTGCTAACTTAGCAAGACTTCCTAGGCCCGAACTTGGCCGTTCGGCCTGGTGACCTGCAGTGTTGGTGCCTTCTTTGGTAGCTCCCATTGTACGGATGCACCTGGGCTTATCAATAGCACTGGTCCACAGCTCCATGCTTTTCTGACTGGGAGAGGAACCATTCCTTGTCATCAAGACTACCCAGCTACTCCCTAATCCAGATGTATTACAACGAAACTTATTTTCCTTATAATTTTATGGTTGGGCTTGTAGCCAAAATCTCCTATAGCCATGAAATTGGTTCAGGAATGACAGACATGCTCTAAGATAACCCTTCCCTCTGCCCTAGTGAGGGATCAGAGTAGCATGGGGCTTGGGGTTGGAAGCTTGGACTCAAGACGTGATGGTGCTGTTCAACAGTAATGCCTCGTGGGCCTCAGTCTCCTCATATGTAAAACGAAGTTTATAAAAGCTCCTGTAAAGTTTTTATGCCACCACTCATTCGTCTGTGTCTGAGCTTAGTGACTCAGACTTCTTGTTTGATAGGATGAAAAAAAGCTATTGTTGGAATTTTTTTTTCTTTTACGCTTGTAACCATCTCTAGTTTATGGGATATTTATAAAACACACAGTCTGGACACTTTTCCTGCTGCAGTCGTGGTGGCTGGGTCATGGTAACACGTGACTTCATACAGAGCAGTATTCTGCAATGAAAGTATTTGGGGGAAGTGGCTCAGAGAGAGCTTTTTGAATTTCAAGTGGCTTTTGGAATTATATTTCCTTACTTATATTAAATTGTAATTTACACTTACATAGCCAGAAACTGTAGTAAGCATTTTACGTGTGTTAAATGAATAGCACTATTATTGCCCACATTTTACTAGAAAGCAAATTGAGGCACGGAGCAGTGAAGTTACTTGATCCAAGGCACATACTAATGAGCAGCACAGTGGGGGCTCTGAAGCAGCCAGTCTGGTGCCAGATCTCCTGCTCAAAATGTTTCTCTAAGCTCCTCCGCAGCATTTGAGTTTAGGGAAAGGATAGAAGCATAGATGATTACTTCAATGGACTGCAGCTAAGAGACTCAAACTGGATATAGGCTAAGCAGGCTGCAATCGGGGATTGTACTTAATTCCCCTTGCTAGATTTCTATGAACTTAGGGGAATCTGAGCTTTTTGAGGAGCTGCTTGGTGCCCCCCAAATTGAG